TGTTTTTTCCTGGAAATTGAGTAGGAAAAGTGAAACTTAGCTTCAAATATTGGAATTAAACATTCCAAATCCCATTTCTTCAACAAAAAATCCTTTTTATCGCGAAAAACACTGTAAAAACACAGGAATCGTCGCGTGGCGTCCCTTCAACCAAACTTCAACTTCATGTTCAATGGAATGAATGGGAGAGAACGCAACGCGAAGCAAAGCACAAAGGCGACTAGAAGGCAGGTTGAAATAAACATGCATTTCATTTAAGTAACATACTCTCTTCAAATTATAGGTATTTCAAACGAGAAAATATTTCAACATTACATTAAGCACAAACCTATATTTGATAAAATATATTTTTTCTTCTTGATTTAAATGAAAAATAATTGAGATGAATATTTAAAGAGTTTCAAAATAACATTAAGCAAATATTTCAATGTATAATAAAGTATTGTTTTACCAAGTATATTATTTATTACTGGATCAAATATAAAATTATAAGTATATTACTACTCTTGGATATAGAATTGCATTTTTTTCCGTGTATATAGGTATTAAAATTCAGTAGCAAAATATATGGAATTATGAAAACTCATCCCACTTCAAATTATAGTTGACGTGCTTCAGGGATCTTTTCGAAAATTTTACAACGCCGAGATAATAGGGGTGGTTAATTTTAAAATGAGCACTCTGTTTATGAGGCAACCATAAGTATTTCAAGAGATGCAAGCTCTGATAACATAGACGCCCCTTGTCGGTTTTTGAAAACCTGGTCGATGAGCTCTCCACTGTGGCTCTGAGTCTAGGGTGATACTAAGGAATATCTCCTCTAATGCCGAACCGCCGCTTTTCTCAATTGCTCTCTTTTTAGCAGTGGACTGTTCAACCCAAAACCATGCTTCAGCACTTGTTCGAAAGTCCATAGAGTTAGCATGCGAAGCCTCTAGAGAGACTCTAGTATAGAGGTTCAGTGGTGGCATAAATTGATATAAATTTGTATGAGGGTAGGACCAACAATGGAGCCCAAATTCACCACCTTCTCTAATGATGTCGCACCGCCACGCTTCACGTTTTGACTATTGAGATATTTAATCAGATTCATATACTCGAAGTTGATTGAGTCAAAATGGTATGTGAGATCCCAGAACAAAAGTGGACTTCATTGATTATTATGAAAAGCTTCTACAATACCTGAGATGAGGTCAAAATCAACAATTTTTGACGGATTACCCTCAGTTCTTTATTAATCTGACTGTATAAGAGTTTCCATAAGTGCAGGTTGGCTTGTTCAGAGAGATGTCGATGTCGCTTCGTTATTGGCCAGCACACTTTTGATTTTGAGTAACTTCCAAGACGTCATCAAATAATAACTTCCGTATCTGACCCCTTTGAATCGAGACCCCTAAGTCAGCACCCCAGCTAAGCATATCTCCACTTCCGAACTGAAAAACCAATCATCATCACCATCATCATAGGCAATCAATCGATACCGAGTATATTTATCTTCTATTCTATTCTATTTTCATAATCTCATTGTCGTCAATTGTGCATGTTCTGATGGCTATACAAACCAATTCTAGAGCCGCACGTTCTTCCAGTCTTGGTACACCCAGTCTCTGGCAGCATTGTCTCTCCCTCCTTTCTAGCGTTTTTGTTGACCTCCTTGATTTCGTTTTCCCTCTTTTAGTTGACTGTAGAGAATCTGCCGTGGAAGACGTGTTTCGGGCATGCGGACGTGAAAAACCAATAATTCATACAGGACACTCATGGGTTCACATACCATTTTACCCAAGGTCAATATTCTGTCATCACTACTGTTTCGTAGTTTCTCACGTGAATGCGCCCCTTACTACTTTCTCGATGATATTTGGTCATAAATTGTCTTTATTATCAAATTACGGTGAAATTATTATCCCACCATAATGGATTCATAATTACCTGACGTTAACATTCAAGAAGAACTTTCTTTGCGTATATTTGGGTACCTATATAGATTCTCTGCCCAGCCAAATTATTATTACAATGAATGGTCTCCATTATCAGGTATCAATTTCGTGAAAATAATAACTCTTAGCAAATCTTTACCTTTTAGTCACCAAATTTGTTTGGCCTGGATTGTTAGAGTTTGGGCTCCTACATTATACAAACCCTGGAAATTTGCCACCTGACTTCTAGTTCGACCAAGAAAATTAAAAAAAGACATTTTGATGGAAAATTTCAAAATCACAAAAGAGAGTCCAACACAAAAAAAAATAATGCATAATGAACATCCCCTTTTTTTTCGGCTAACATCATGAATTTTTATTCTTTTTCCAACACATTCTAAGGAACCTTTTTGATTAATCGTCCAACAATAAATCCGGAATAAAATGTGTCATCTTTTTATAATTGTCCGCGGACAGCGGAAGATATATTTTCACGTCAACACATTCTAAAAGGCCGAAAGGCAAAATTTTTAGATAAATTGAAGTGACTTGCACCGAGGCTGAGCGAATACACGTAAATATTTCTTTCAAAGGGGTAATGGAGAAAGCATGAAATATTTAGAAGAGATTACGGAGGAAAATAGAGAACAATGAATTGATTAACGATGGATATCCAATGGCAGTTTTTATTTATCAATAAATGAAACAAGCACTATACAAATCAGAAGACGCAATGCAAATTTGATTTGTATAGTGTTCTTCTCAACTTCAACTATAATATTCACATTGCGAATGCGAAATGCGCATTGTTATGGACACAAGTGACCTAGATTTGGTCGTGGTAACCACACGGATGTAATATATACTCTAGCCGGTGGCGCACAAGTAATATAGGTAAAGGGTACAATATTTTATCCACAACCGTTTGCATAGAAAACCGGAGTTTAATTTGATTTTGAATTTGCATTTTTGCATACCGATAAATGTATCACAATGTATCGGGGTAAAATATGAGAACAGCGATTACATAAATAATCCATGATCCATTTGTGTGAAATTATTCTGGAAATTTACTAAATATTTGTGAAAAACTTTGCGCTCTTCTAAAAATTCTCGTATTATTGGGTAATTCAAACTCCTACTACCAGGGGTTAACTATATTTGACATAAAATAGTATCCCCCTCGATAATAGTTATTCATGTCATTATTACTTTTTGTGCTTCGCTCAATTCTAGGCCTTCACTGTGCCTCCGCTACGCGTCGGCCTTCAGACCTTGAGCTCACCAGAAAAAGACCTAATGACATAAATAACTATTATCGGGGGGGACACTATGTTATGTCAAATATAGTTAACCCCTGGTAAATCCTTACCACTGAGAGCCGGTTTCTCAATAGCGCTATATGAAAGATACTAATGAGAAGAAGGTTTTAGACCACTAATGACAGGTGTCAACTGTCAAATTGTGACAGGTGCAGATTTTCGAACCATTTATTCGCAACGGATTTTGCTGAAATTTTGCATACACTTTAGGTTCGGGTGAAAATACATTTAAGACCACTAATGAAACGTGTCAACTGTCAAATGTGACAGGTGCAGATTTTGGACCCATTTCTTCGCAACGGATTTAGCTGAAATTTTGCATACACTTCAAATTCGGATGATAATACAATTTGGAATATTCGACAGCTGTCAAATGTAATTTTTGACAGATGTCAGCTGTCAAAATATGACAAAAGGGCGTCATATGCCTGCCCGGTGTTCAGAATCGGAATCGCCATAAAGCCGGAGTCTCATGCATCCGTTTTCCGACGTCCGATATCCGAAAAACCTTCCATTCTGACATATTTTTTTACGAATATTTTTTGCAAGTGTCATGACTGCGTGCATTTGGATCCGATGGAACGAAAAAAAACCTCTATACTGTCATTATGTCAACGTTAAACGGCAATGTTTTTGAAATAAAAATAAATAAATCGGTTGAATGTTGATGTTGATTGTCGATCGCGATTATTGGTTTTCGGTTTTCTATTTTACAATAATAATTAATTTTGATTTGATTTTTACCAGTCAGTCAAAAAGTAAGTTTAAAAACGATCCGAAAACGAAAGAAGTTAAAATTATTTTGAGTTTGTCCGACGTCGAAAAAAAGTTGAAAATATTTGGATGAAATGTGGCGGGAAATTTTTCAACCAATAGGAGCTCCGTCGTACCATCGGACATCGGGAAACGGATGCATGAGACTCCGGCACAAGACGTTGAAAAAAATTGACAGATGTCAACTGAGGTGGTGTCAAAAAGAGGTGGGCAGGTTGTCAGGATTACTTCAAAAATTTGCTTTTTTCAACAAATAAACAAAATGTATTTTTTTTTTTAGCGTAGTAGCACACGCCGGGCATGCGCTAGCTGTAGATAATTTTATTAGAAACTACTTTTGTATTTAATTTTTTTTTGCAGCCCTTGTATATTTCGAGATAAGGCTTAGGCCCCTCTTAAACGAGCCACCTTGTACATGGCGTTTCCCCATGTACCATCGTCACCAAAAGTATCTGGGACACTAATAATGCATAATAATCTCCTGGACTAATTCTACTGTCATTCATTTCAATGCATTTAATTCATAGTTTGACAAATATTTGACAATAAAATTGATGTAATAGGACAAGAGCGAATGTGATGCTGTCCCAGTTACTTTTGGTGACGATGGTACATAGATTTTTTTTTAATTATTATAGAAATTAATTTTCTTCAAACTTATTGATTTTGAAAGTTAAATATTGATTTTTGTGTATTTTCTATATTTTGTTTTTACTTAGTTCTCAAATAGTGATAGTATAAAGATAATGTAAACTGATGGAAAACAGGAACGGCAACCTATACGAAGTTTTTCAATTTCTATTTTGTGACCTAATCCTCGTAAACTGCTTTTTGTTTGTGTATTTTCATATTCAGGTAATTAAAGTTTTTATGTGGAAAATGCAGTAGTAAAAATAAAAGGTTTTTTCCACAATTGAACTCACAGATTATAATTTATAAATATTGCGAAGTATTTATTTATTGATTAATTTATATCAAAACATTAAATTCAGGAATCAGATTTTTCTGGTTCAGCTACCCCTTCTGCTGCTGAGCCAAGCGCCAAGTGCCTTCTGAGGCAGTTGTTGGCGTAGTGCCCCTGTGAGCCACACTTCCAGCACTTGTTCTTCCTGGGCAGCTGAACCAGATTGTCCATCGCACGGTTGTTGCACCGCATTCTATTGCAGAAATATACCGTGTGGCCCTGCTTGCCGCAGTAATGGCAAATAATCTTCTTTCGGCTGACTCGTGGCCGATACCTGAAACGTGGGTGCTCGTCTTTGCAGGTACCACCTTTCTGGCAAAAGCCTGCTAGGTAATTTGAGCACATAACTCTTCTTTCGTGCCTGAAATTTTGCTGTTTACTATAGCAGAGTGAAAGCTTGAAATAGCATACCTTTGAAGACATAGAGGTCCGCGCCTACAAAATCCTCGACCGTAGAAAGGACAGTCTTTGATTTCGATTGCGGAATCGGTGTGCAGAAAGGGGCATTCCTTTATGATACAGGCTTTGAACCGCAAGTAATAATAACACCTTGGTATTTTGGTCACGACGTAATGGTGGAGAAATTTGCACTGTTCGTCCTTGCATGACCCCAACAGCCAATTACTGCACACGATGTTCCTGTTGAACGTCGAGTTGGCCCTACTGGAATCTACGCAAGATTGAAGGATACTGACTGAACTATTATTTATGCTACAGTTACTTACTGTCCATGTCTGGAAAGAGTCGCGGGAGGGCCTCAAACTGCTCGTACAAGGTGGTATCTATGTCGAGTTGAGAGTTTGTAGCGTTCGAAAAATTAATCTATAATTATGGTAATAATTATAAAACAATAATTAAAATTAATGGCAGCGGAAAATGACATAAATAATAAAAAGTTGGCACAATGGGGAAATCTGAAGCTCGTTACCTATACCAAAGAATCCTATACATCGTATTTCTACATGTATACATAAAGAAATACTTGAATGTGAAGCGGATATATTAGACGTGTATTTTATGGCTACCATTATGTACCCTCGAATTCAACCAACTTTTGTCAATTTAGGCGGTTTCTGCCTGCTAAACTTTTTTGTGATTGCGCTAAATCTAAGCAAACATAAGCTGTATATTAATATAAAAACAATTCTACAATTTGCGTTTATGAATACCTATGCACATTATTTTTTTTTTTGTAATTTTTGGAAGAGGTTGGTTCCATTGAAATTCGTCGTACCTACATGTATTAATACACGAAAAACTAGTAAATCTAAAACCCGTTTGAGAAGAAAAAAATACTTATAGCTACCTAGATAAACTAGATGTACTAGAAAAAGAAAATCCAATCAAGTTACAGTCGTTTCATTTTTGTGTGTGTTTTGTTTTCGGTTTTGAAACACAGGGATAAAAAATTAAATTTTTGTTTTTAAAATGCTGACTAAAGAATACTTACTTGCTTTTAAAATAAATTGAGTAGTCCGCAGATTGCGAGTGATCAAATTTTTAGTAACTATGTTTTTAGCTATTACCTATAGAACCGTGTGGAGTGTGAATTCGAATATGAAAAGGTGATCGGGCGATTTTTTGAGTAACTGATATAAAAATGTCACGGCAACGATGTTATCTCCAAACATAAAATACGCGAATAAAATCCAGACGCCATATTCGCGAAAGGTTCTGAGGTAGGCGACATCTATGATCAACTTTGGTACTCAAAACTCAGTGAATAACAAAGCAAATTTGCATTTGGCCCCCGGCATTGTTTTTGGGAGTTTTAAATTTCCTACAGAATATTATTCTTTTTATGTATAGTTTCTGTTATATAAATGACAAAAACGCCACAAAACACAATTTAACAAAAACTAACCTCAAAAAACTGGCTTTGTACTTTGTTGTTTACTGAGTTCTATCGCATAATTTAGCGCCATCTATTGGTACAGGAATTTCACGAATTGAGTGGTTCTTACATGTCAATGATGTCAGATGAGAGGCAGATTGCCTCATTGTATAGGAGGGAGGAGTTTGGAATATAACTCCAATAGCATAGATAAAAACTCCGAGAGTGTTCACGTGATTGAATTATATAGAATCAATTTGAAGTTATGTTTGAAAAAAATCGGTCCGCATCTGAGAAAAAGAAGATGAATGCTACAAATTTGGAAATGCAGGTGTCCTCTTTCAAGATATTTCCTTGAACAAGTGGACGAAATAAGATAAAGCCCTACTATAGCCTGTGGTGCAAACACTTTAAGTCCAGCGTCAAGGCGAGAAATCACACGAAGACGACGTCAACACTGGTACTTTGGCATGGTGGGGGGCTTGAGATATGAGCTACAAAGGCCCTATGAAGATAGACTATCCTTTGTGTAGTGTGTTCTTGGTTTTGACGAAGTTTCAAAACATCGACATATCGATGTTTGAACCATCGATATTCGATATTGCGAAAACCCTCGACCCAGAAAATATTGAAAAGAAATAAATTGAATTTGAAAAGATTCTCAGCCTTGTTATTTTCAAAGTAGATCACAGTTGTCGGGAACTCGAGCATTGAAAGTAATTTTGGTGTCTATATCATTTTCTTCCTATTTATCCTGAACCTATTCTATTCCTGTTTTTGCTTTTCATTCAGAATAATTCTTATTTTTGTATCTCTTAGCACAATATTTTTTTTTTATGTGTTAATGTGTTTTCAATCAGTATTTTTAATGAAACTATTGATAAGCTCAACTAAAAATAAAAAAATCAACGTGGAGTGGCAATGTCGTTGTCGAGTGTCGATGTATTAATTTATGTCTCTTTTGTCTCAACGTCCTTTTCGCTTCATAACATCCACAATTTTTCAAAAAAAGTTTGACCCTAAAAATACCTAATTTTTTTGTTTATTTTAAATCGAAATTGATATTTAAACCATTATTTGTTGTATTTAAATTTTCAAGAACACCTAACAGTAAACACAGAAACATAACCTCAACAGTTAACATCGATGTTTGAAAACATCGATATTTTTCAATCGATATTTTAATGGCATCGATAGTATGAAGCGATATCACAATCGATGTTTAATACCGATGCCACATCACTATGCTACTCCAATTATTTTGAATATTTTGATGGAACCCCATACTCAAGAATCGTAGACTAACAGGATTGCTCATCCTAATAAGGCGTACGTTCGCCAATTCTCGAGTCGAAAGGGTCTGCGAGTGACGTCACCACCATTAGCAGCTGATAATGGTGACGTCATCCGCTGACCTCGATGAATTGCTTGCGATTAGGGCTGTGCTTGTGAATTGATTTTTTGATCGATTTTAAATGTAGAAAAGGTGATTTTGACAAGATTTTAACATTTAGGAATTCGTTTTTTTGACCTACAGTGTTTTAAGCTCGTATAATGCATTTTACGCCAGGAATTTAGGTCTGCAGCGAAATGGCAGACACTTTCAACTCAAAAACCAGTCCTATTAGGAAGTGTCCTTTCCCCATGCTAATATCTTAAAACTTGTATTCTGAGAACAATTTTAAATCCTTTTTGTGTACACTTTTCTATACCAGTCCTAAGGTTTACCGTTTTTGATATATTGTTTTGCGTCTATTGTTAATCCAATGGAAAATTTTTTCAATGGATATTTCTAATTGTTTCTAAGCATAACGAGATTTTGTTATTGTATCTACGAGAAATACTACTGGGTTTTTATGAAAATTATTTTAAAAAAAAAAGAAAACTTTCAAATACTTACCGATAAAAATACAAATTTCTGCGAAAACAGAAAGAGACTGAAGACTTAAGGCGATTTTCAGCCACAAATGATTATTTATTCTTTCGGTTGACAACTTTGACAGCTAAGTTTGCCGTCAAAAGCAACGATTTTCCTAAAAAATGCGGGAAACCGATTTTCCCGTACGCAACTGCCGTTGACGGAAATTCTGTCAAACAGTTGAGTGTTGAATACTATACTATTCTTAAACAAGTGAAATAAGCAAAATTCTACACGAGAGGTTTGTTCCCCGAGCCAAAGGCAGAGGGAACGGCTATACGAGTGTAGAATTTTGAATTACACGTGTTTTTAGACTATAAGTTTTCTACGAATATGTACGTAGAGCGGTTTTACACGGCAAAGTTTCTTCACGAAACGATTGCCGAAATATTTCGTAAGTCAACTTTTCCTGTTTTACACGACATAAGGAAAACTTACGAAATATTTCGCCAATAAACTTTAGAAAATATTTTAGTTTTGGTGGGCGTGGCCGAGTAAATGCCTGAGTTTCGGCGCACACTTTCCTTTCTTTCCATCCTTATCAATCCGTCATTGGGTAGCCTATGTAATAGATAAAGATAGACTGCTCTTCGGTGGGTCAACTGGTGAAAAAAGTATCGCCCCAAAAACATAGGACGGGTCGGACGGTAGGGAGAGGACCAGCTAGGCAAAGCCGAAGAAATACAAAACTTTATTTATGGAAGGAAAGTATGAGGTTATGATTTGCTATTACTGATGGCAAAACGTAACTGAAAAATTTGATACATTTTATTTGCCGTGTCAAACAGGTAAAAAGCAAAACCATCCAACCACCACGAAATAATTTCGTAAAGAAACTTCGCCGTGTAAAACGGCTTTTACATACCAAGAATAATATAAAACACAACTACAGGATAGCCTATCCTGATAAGGCCTGTGTGGAACAAACCTAAAGCCCTCACCCCACCACGCCAAATCACCAGTTGTGACGTAGGCAGCATGTCGGTTCTTGCCTTGACGTAGGCTGTTCGCACCACAGGTTATGATTCCGCGGGCTTTTACTTTATGCATACTTGGTTTTACTACATTAAATTAACATTCTAAAACATTTCTTTTTAGATCTCGTTTTCATCGTTCTCTTTGCCTATTATGTTAATCAAAATTAAATAATAATTTGCCTCATAAATTTAAATTCCAAACTACGACCGCTAGTGCGCACAGCTGACGACTTAGTTATGACGTCGGAAATGGTGACACACCAATATGACGGCAATTACCAAAAACGAGGCCGATAAGCAATCCTTGTAGTGTTTATCATCCTTGCTCACATACGGCGTAATTTGAAATTTTCAACAATATGTCATACATCAATATTGTTGAATATCGTTTTCTATTTTCCATAATTTTTGCATTAGTACAAAACCGTCGACTTGCATTTTATAGTATTTTTGAGGTTTTTGCCTAGCTAGTGCAGAAATACGAAATACGCAGTGACTTCAGATGGCGCTGCAGGAATTCATTCCAGAATAGGTTATGGAATACATATTCGTTCACTATGGATGAAATGAAGCCATTCTGTAGGTAATAAAAAACTAAGTTGGAATCAGGGCCCTAGCCAGGGGGAGGCCATTGGGGAGCAATGCCAGATATTTCGAATGATGATGCCCTACCTTTAAAACGCAACAAGCATTAAGGTTTCCCTACAAAATTTAAGAGTGGATAATAAATAGAACTGAAATCGAGTAAGTGCGAGGATAAGTGTTTCCGAATACGCCTAAATGTTTGCAACAATGTTTGACGTTTGACGTTTGCATAGCGGAAGTTTTTCATTTCGGAAGCGGGCGAAAATCAGCGCCATTTTTTTCACTTGCCAGAGATGTGCGTTGCCACTTATACTCGCTTTCTGTTCATTCGGTTCATTTCAGTAACTACATTCTGACTGGGCGTTATAGAACACGAAATATGAGTATCTAAGCCATAAATACCTATTCAATAATATTAATTTTTTCGTTAGTGTCCCCGACATTTCCAGACTGTTTACAGCTGTTTTCATACATGTGTTCGAGAGAGTTATCGAAAATTCTAACTACACC